GGACACGCACTTCCCCGAACCCCCCCCCCGCCCCATCCATCCGCAACTCCCCAGCAGCACCAAAGCACCCACCGTGCCCCGAAAGCCCTTGTTTTCCCCCCGAGCAGACTCAGGGCGCAGAACAAGACAGAAAAGCGGAGGGACCCAGGATTTGAGGCTAACAAATAGAGAGATCAGGCTTGAGACGTGGCTGAGGTTGGGAGGCTAAGTGGTGTCTCCCAAGGAGCCCAGATTTCATCTCCTCTCCACGACAGATTGATTTGCTCCTTTGCAGGTGGTGGGAAGACGCTGCCTCGGATAACGGGAGCCTTGGTAAAACCAGAGAGAGGAAGGGGGACAGCAAGGAGGAGCAGGGACGTGGACTGCTGGAGGGTCTGCTGGGGACCGGGACCCCCTCTGCGGCCAGGCTGGGCTCTGGTGAGGTCCCACATTCCCCTCCGACGCCGGCGTCCCCCAGCTGCTATTTCAGGCTCTTCCTCGGCGTGGGCTGCGGCGCGGCGAGAGTGACAGCAGGGAGCCGGGTGATGCTTCTGCTCGGAGTTTATTTTTTTCCAAAAATGTAGAGCCAGGGGGCTGAACATTTGCTGCAGTGCCCTGAACACTGGGAAATAGAAAATACCCCCAGTTTCCTTTTTTGCCCCAGCAGGACCCAAGCCCGGTCCCCACCAGGGATGCCTCTTGTCTCTGCTATAGTTTCCCAGCATTTACCCAATTCCTTGGTCTCCCTAAAGCATTTCTGTGACTTCTGCCTTCAAGGCTGGATTTCTCCCAGGTACGAATGCCCATCTCCTCTTCCGCACAGCTCACTGCAAAGCATGATTGCAAAGAAGCTGGAGCCCCGGTATGGTTTTGGTAAGGATTTTATCCAGAGGCGGTCCCCAAGGGCACGAGACACAAAGTGCCTGGGCCAGGCAGGGGGTCTGTGGCACTGCCCCAGATGGTACCGGCCTGAATTTGCCACAAGCCCACGACATCGTCTGCGGTGTCACTTGCTCAAGGAATCTCTTTCCATCCCAGCCAGGCGTGCTCAGGGACGGAGAGGGGGATACAGCAGAGAAATATGGAAGGAGAAGGAATAAGGGGGAATTAAAGCGCCGCAAGGAGACATAGAAGGAGGACCAGAGGTGAAAAGGAGAGAGAAAGGGACAAAGAGACCGTCAGAGAATGAGGTTGGGAGAGGGAGACGAGACGGGGAGCGCAGGAGAGACGAGGAGAGGGGAGCGCGGCTGCATGAACAGGCGGCAGAAACCCAGGGAGGGGAAAAAAAAAAAAAATAGAAAAGCAATGAGAATGAGAATTGATGAGGCACGGAGAAGGGAAGAGTCTTTTCATCAGCAAGTTTGCTGGATGAAGCCAGGAGATAAATCACCCAGTGGAAGGAGCCTTGGTCTCAGTGCTCAGGAGAGACGAGGAGAGGGGAGCGCGGCTGCATGAACAGGCGGCAGAAACCCAGGGAGGGGAAAAAAAAAAAAAATAGAAAAGCAATGAGAATGAGAATTGATGAGGCACGGAGAAGGGAAGAGTCTTTTCATCAGCAAGTTTGCTGGATGAAGCCAGGAGATAAATCACCCAGTGGAAGGAGCCTTGGTCTCAGTGCTTGCACCGGCTGCCTCTCT